TTGTGAGTGTTGATTGTTCCTCGACTTTTGGGGCCCTTTGGTGCTTCCAGAAAGCAAGCCCTTTGACTAAAAAACGACCCCACCATTCAAAAGCAAAGGCTCCAAGATCCCAAGCTTCAGGATGTCATTATTTCAAGACATGGGGGTTTCTCAAAAATAGGGGTACGATTTTGGGGTCCCAATAATAAGGACTATAGTATATGAGAGTCTATATTGGGATCCCCCTATTTTGGAAACTACCACATTAGCTTTGGAGTTTAAGCATCGCAGTCTTGCAGCCTCATGGTTCGTCCATCTTAAACAAGCCTCACAGACCGTCCCTGCAATCCATGACGCTGTTTTGCTTCAAGTTAAACTGCCGGTCACCAAAGTTAACATAATTTGTAGCCCAGATGCTCAAAGGCTTCAATTATCAACCCTGGCCCTTCGGTTGAGTGGAGAACGCTTTGATTGGTGAGTACAGAACTGGGAACCCTGATTAATTTTCTCCCCCTGAGTGCAAACCACACCCCACCCCCCTAGCAATGAAGACCCCAGATGCAGTACCATTATTGTCAGGGGAAATTCCTGCATTAGGAACGGGGGGGTTCACTATGACGGAGAGAGGATTACATCTAGCATGTTGAAGTCCATCACGAAGCAAAACTCATAAACAGGCATACCTTGAATTGGGGGATTACACAAGGCACTGGTTTATAGGAGCACCCTTTTGAGCTTTCCATGAACTGGGGCAGGACAAGGTTCGCTTGCAGCAGAAGCCGCCAAATTCCCCGTGAGTCACCTCCACTGATTTGGCCCCAGAAATGAAGGGGATTTGTATGTCAAAACAAGAAAGAATACGAAGACTAATACTAATAGTAGTAATAATAGCAGTAATTGTAATAGCAATAGTAATAGCAGTAATAGCAATAGGAATTGTTGCGTAGATGCAATCGCAGGACATTTCAAGACATGCGGGTTTCAAATCAACATGCAGGGGGCCAACACCGGGGCCCCTGAAATTCCAACTAAAGAACCCCTGGAGAAGGCAATTACGCTATGTGCCACGTCTCCAAGAGATGGGGTAATTACCAGTATCATTCTGAGGTCTGTTTGACGTACCCTAAAGGATAACTGTTCGACCCAGCAAGGAATCTAACATGAAAAATCGTGTAGGCGCTTATGTACAGTACCCCAAACCCTGAACAGCCTAAATAGTTGTTTTCATTTCTTTTCAATTAATCCTATACACACCTCATACAACCCTGACATTGCAGAAAACCAACATTACTTGCTCAAGGCATTGAGCTATGGTCATCTACAGGGATTCGAACCTGGAATTTCGCACGGATCTTGTGAAGTGTCTCGCACACTCCCTAGATCCCTAGCAGTTATATAGCGATAATGGAAAAGGAAATGGAAAGTACTATAGTATACTGGGGTTATATGGGGGCTACTATAGTATACTGGGGTTATGTAGAATCATATAAAAACATGTGGGTAGTTCCCAAAATTAAGGTCCCGTTCTGGTACCCCTACATATTAGGTGCCGAAATATAACCTATGACCAAAAAGGGGCCCATAATTTTGGGGAACTACCATGTGAGCTATAGTCTAAACTCCTAGTATCCAACCTTAATAACCCCTATAATACTCCCCTACATAATCCCCTATAAAACCCCTCTGTCAGGAGTTTAGACTATAGCTTACGTGTCTCCCGCAGGTGGCCGAGCCTGGAAGGGGCATACAGGATTGGCGCAAGCCTCCATGCCTTCAGGCCTGTTTTGTCTCAGAAGGATCTCAACTTCACGCGACAATGTTCTTCAAATTCAAGCCTGGTATACGGTGGCATAGGGAAACCCTGAGGATAGTAACCTATGTGTTGAGAAGATCGCACAAATGCCCCCAAAGTGGAACGAGGTACGGCCAAGGGCGTGTGGGAAGCTCAGTTTCAGGGGTTGGGGCTTCGGGCTTCAAGATTTAGAGTTTGGGTTCCCTCAGTGCGGACTGCCTAGTCTCCAGTTGAGCAAATGTCCCCAAACTAGGTGTCACTCTTCGCTGCCAGACTCTACACTCCCTCCACATGTCCCTGCATAACCCCATACAAAGCAATAGAAAAGCCGACATACAGCACTCCTTACATGTTCTTGCAAATCATCGCTCTCTCTCTCTCTCTCTCTCTTGAAAATCATCATTTCGTAAAATGAGGGCACGGTTGTAAACAAGAATTATACTTCGTACTCTATCCTTAACGCGAAACCGCGTAGAAGACCTTTGCGACTCGCAGGGAACAGCTACTGGGGGATTGCAGGAACTGCTCGGCTGCTCCATGAGTCAAAGCCCTGGTACTGACGTTTACGCACGGATGGGGCATATGTAGAAATACAGGGTTCTCTAAGATTCCAACTTTGATTTTTGCCACCCTCAATGTAGCACAATTCTAATTCTGGACACCCGCAAGATGGGGGTCCTGAACCCTTAGCCTCTAAACCCTAAAACCCATACCCTGAAGCCCTAGACCCCTTGAACCCCGGAAACCCTAGCTTGCAACCTCAAGAGCTGACTGCAGAACCACGCACCCTTAGGATTCGGCTTCGGCCTTGAGGTTTCGGTGTTCTTTACTGGGTTGGCCCCTAAAACCCTTTGAAAAATATTAGTATATAGGGTCCCCTATTAAAGCCCTTAGGGAAAATGTTAGATATCTCAGGGGCCTACCCAGTTTAAGCCCCCTATAGGAACATCAATATACCCATCCCCCAAGACGTAATCGCCAGAAGCTCAAACGGAGCAGCCCTTGACCCTAAACCCTGAATTCGAATCTGTGGCTCGAGCTGGCAGGCGTAGGAATCCCGAAGCCTCCAGACCAGAACCTTTCAAAACATCTGGGAGCTTCACATAACGGGATGTGTAGGGCTTCTACTTGGAGATGAATAAGGACTGATAGACTTATACATATGTATAATATATATATATGGAGGTTGCCGTTGGTCTCATCAAGCATATATCGGGCGGGCACGCGTCTCATCTAAGACTTTGTTGCGAGAAATGTCCGTGAAGGTGCATGGAAGTCTGCTGTAAGATGACTGTTCACGGAATGATATAGGGACCGGCACTATAAGGAACCCAAATGCAAGGATCTGCGTGACACGCATGGCTAGCACGAAGTGTAGATTCAAAGAATTGTTTTGCAGCCTCTTACCAAGAGGCCCCTCGGGAGACCATATTAGTTGTTTAGATGCACAGGCCTGCAGTAAGTTCTAGGATTTTGGCTCGGGATCTTGAACCAAGTCACAGGGGGTACTCAAAAAAAACAAGAACACAGCACTACACAGGAGAAAATCAAGGAAAAGGCATTCAGGTCCACGCTCTTTTTCTTTGTATTTCTGAGGGTGCTGAGCAAGGAGGATTTTGCGGATTGGGGTTAAGCGGTAGAAGAGGCACTATGCGGTTCACAGGCACTCATCAAGTACGGATATTGCATCCGTGCCAAGTTGGTACAATGTCAACATCTCCGGATGACTAAGTCATTGGGTCTGGTATGATACCTCATCCCGTTCATTCCGGGCATTCATCGTGATGCCTCTGATGTGCTCTTACTCCACCCAGCTGGCGCGCCAGGAGGCCTACCTGAACGTTCAGGGGAAGTTAATGGTTGTTCGTAACTATGTTGTGAACGCACTGGCAGCTACTCGTCTCCACAAAGCTTCTCCACACCCCCCACAATTACAGCAAAGTATGAGCCCCGAAATCCCTACAAATGGCCTTCAGCAGGGGCCAACTTCAAGCTCCGTGCAGCGGCCATGAAACGCAGCATCCATCGGATCACGTCGATTTAGATGGCGCTGATGTAGGCTTGGGGTTGACTGCTGTAGGCTGGGGCCCCAAACGCGGTTCAGAGTTCCACTTGGAGGGCTTGAGTGCACTTGTCGGGATTCAATGATGCTATGCGTGCTGGAGTCTCAGGATCTAGCTTGCGCATTTAGGGAAAGTTGTTTTTATATCTTTCGAGGCTCCTCTTCTATTGTTGGCGCAGTTTCCAGCTTTGTCTCCAGTTGCATACTACTCTGCGCTCGCGTCTAACAATCAGGGGACGCCAGATTGCCGAGGGAACCTCTGACTGCTCCCAGAAAATTGTTTTAATGGACTAGAAATCGGAAACTGCTATGATACTAAGAGATCGGCTGGAAGGTTTACGGGTTACTTCTTACAATCTTAAGAGTTCCTTCGTGACTCCTTGAAGTGAAGTGACAAAGCTTCCCCCATGTTTCCTGGGAGCAGTTCTATAAAGCCCCAGTGGCGCTCACACGGGCGTCGCCTGCTGTTGCACAGCTTGAGCCAAACGCGGCAGATGAAAATAGGAGATAGTATCATTACGATTCGTACTACTAAGTTACTACTACTACTACTACTACTACTACTACTACTACTACTACTGTTACTACTAATTATTTCTATTACTACTATTACCTATTATAACTACTAATACTATTATCATTATTGTTCTTATTATTCTTTTTATTATCGAGCAGAGGTGGCCTTTGACTAAATGCACGCACTGCGTTCAGCCACCAAAGCACGCCACACGAAAGCCGGCTGACGTGGCCGAGACACAGATACCGCTGATCTACTAGAAACTGGGGTTTCCAACACACAGCAATTTTCTGGGGTCATGAAGCTCTGAGCTTTTGCTTAGTATGGCAAGTCATGGTTTTCAACGCCATCGCCAAAACCGGAAATTCCATAGGTGCAGCTTCGTAGGTAGTGGAAGCTCCTAGTCCTAGTCGGCCATCGAGTAAACTCAAGAGTTTTGCTGTCACGGCATGTTCCGAAAAGACTCCGAAGTGAAACTGCGCAATGGTCCGGAGGAAAACACCCTTGTGACGACTATTGCAAAAAAGTGGAAGATACTTGAGTGCTGCTCTGGGCGTCGTACAGGTTCCAAGGGGTCCTGTTAGAATCCGGAGAGCGAGCAGTCTCCAGTAGCCAGCCACAAGTTGCTTAAAATTGAAAACTATTCAAATCTAAAAGTTAATCTGTGTGGGAAAACATCTGAAACTCAGCATGGCGCACACAATGACAACTAGGTCAAAGATGGCGAGGGTAAAGAGGCTGCCTTCAAGGCTGCCGCTGATGAGCAACTCCAGTTCAAGGTACAACATGCCCACAAAGACCAAAATCACGATCACAATGACAGAGCAGTTGATGAGCACGCTGCTGCATAGTTTTACTCGTTCAGTTCTGCCGACCTGCTTACGCAGCAAGCATGTAAGCTTTGAAGTCAAGTGGAACAGAATTGGCACCTGTCATAGCCGAGGAACGTACAAAATAGCCCATTTTGTTCCTCAGTGTTGTTCTTGTGTTTTCTTAAAAACCTTGTTAAACAAAGGCAGGGGCACATTACCAAAAGTCCCGCCAACACCTCGCAAGATCGCCCGTGCAGAAATCTTCATTTCATAGTCCACCCAAACGGTGTGCCCATCTGCGGGGCGGAGAATCCAGTCCAGCGGTGTGGATGCATCGTCCATGTGTAACCACAAAACAGGCACAGCCATCACAACGAACTCCTTGTAAGTAAAGACCTGCGATGCAAGCTGTTCCGTCAAGCAAGTCAGGACTTCAGAGCGCACCACACTGTCGAAGGCCTGCACGCTGCCAAACCACCGCGTTATGCACGACAGCAAGATTCGCCGATCGCACAACAGGGTTTGGCCATCTACCGTTGCATGACCGATAGAACAGCAATAACATAAACAATCTTCACATTGGAACTGCTTCAACTCATGATGCAAAGTCTCCACGGATCGGAAGAACTCGCGCATTTTGGCGACACTCCAATAGAACACTACAGCAGCGATTGCTGCCATTGCCGGCCACATGACTGCATGGTCGTTGTTCTTTTCACCAGTCGGGACGAATCCCATACCTAAGACCATGCAGGACAAGGCCACCGGAATTGAGATGAAACCAGGCCCTAGTAGTGTAGGCCTGACAATTACGTGCGCTTTTTGCCCGCTCTCGCGGGTGCGCAGGAAGGCTGCAATCTCAAAGCAACACCACAAACGTCTAGTATAGGACGGGTTGGTTGGTTGGTAGTGATTGCC